AATTCAAAGATCACTAGACAACCCTGAAGTACTCCAAAGCTATACCAATATAACGTTATTGGTTTTAAGGCACACTATTCTTAAAAACAACATGATTTCAAATACGCACAGAGCTCCTGAAGCGGATGTAATAAGACATTTTTTTTTTTTCAGACAGGCGTATGCTCAAATTTAGCCAAGATAACAAATATGAGAAAATTTGCACAGATCTATTTGAAGAAAGGATTATTTTACAAGAAAACGCTTTAAGATCAAAGTTTCTGAACTTGTTTGTCATTTCATGAAACCCTAGGTGGCTAAACGTCTCTACAGTTTAGTTTGCTACAGGTTCCGCTGAGTTTGCAGAAGTGCTTTTCCAGTCCAAAACCCGTTGATGATAACATGATGTCTCTTTTGTGTCTGCCGCGGGCGTCTTATCTGTTACCTCCCATGCTCGAGGTGCTATAAACACAACAAGAACAAGCCTTTTAGTATTGATCTTTAAATACAGTAGTAAGTATCAAGGATGACTAACCCTCCCCAACCCTATCATATATCGGTGTTCCAAAACAATCCAACGGCGGCCATGTTGGTGTAGCAAACCAATCCCGTGGGAGTTGAACTTTTTCTTCAGTGAACACTTTCTTTAGTTCCAATAAATTTGTATGCAACGTGAGTGGTAACGCTCTATAAGATTTCAAGTAGGAGGCTTTCCTTGCGAGCTCAGACATCTGTAACAGAAACCAGAATAAAGTTATAAAGGGAGTAAGTTTTAGAGAAACTGTGGTGTTGCTTCGGTGGGAGAGTATAGCAGGTAATTCAGTGTTAACAACTGAGTTGAAAACGTAAATTAGCCTCCGTAAAGGGTAAAAAAGCTGATGTTTCGAGCGTGAGCCCTTCGCCCTTCGCCCTGACGAGGGGGGCTAACGCTCGAAATGTTATCTTTTTACCCTTTACGGTGACCAATTTACGTTTTCAACTCAGTTGTTAACGCAAAATTACCAGAATAAATTTAGCTCGGTGATTCAGGACAGAACACCTGCGATAGCTCCGGGTATCAGGTGCCCGATTTACTGAAAACACTGTTCAGTAAAAAAAAAAAAAAGGTTAGCTCTTGTCAGTGTTAAAGTGTGAACAATATTAACCTTCAGGGACCGATTCGTATGTCAAACTCCTGAAAAAGGTTAAGGTATTTTAAAAGGTTTTTTTTTTAAGCAAATTTTTCTCTTAACGGAGTTTACAGCGTTTCATTTTAAGATAGCTCAAAACAGATTGCCCTTTTTCGAGAAAAAAGTTCTTCAAATTATTTCTCAAAACAGTTTGGCTCTTCGTAATAAGTATAGTAGTAAAGTATACTACTAGTATAAAATTCGGCACAGTAATAAAAGAAACACCATAACATCATTTTTCCCCAGATAATTTAAAATATAAATGCATGTGCACTACAATAAACCTTATTCAAACATGGTGAGGTTTAAAGCTGCAAGCTTGTGGGAACGTTTAGAAAATAAAGTAAACAAAAAGGAAAAAAAAATTGTCACCATGGAAACCATAGGACACATCCAGTCGTGCCTCCAAAATCGAAAACTAAATCAGTATTATGGTGGGACGGGAAAATATTTAGCTCGAAGTCATGACGTACGGACCGAACGCAACGAGGTCCGTGTCTCATGATCGAGAGCCAAATATTTTCCCGTCCGGCCCGGGCACACTCAGCTACACGAGCACAAAAAAAAAAAATTCTGAAATTTAAACTTTTCCTTTACTTTTTTTTTCAGAGGGGCACGGTAACGAATCCTGCAGTCTGATTGGTTCTTTACCCAGTCAGTATTTTCTTATCTCTGCCCACGGGCCACGGTGACGCCTTCGTGAATCGCTGAGTACATCCTAAATTTCGTTGCCATTTTTATAAATATATCTCGCTTTTCCTTCTGGGTAGTATTTTTAGGCAGACACGTCGGTCACTACCTCAAGCCGATAAATAACTTATGAATCCTCTCTTTTCTCTCTCTCAAATCACTATGGTTGACAGAAAAATATTGGTTTCAGAATGAATTTGTATAAGCAATAGTGTCATTACGTTGGTTGACAAGCGGCATAAAACCGTCAGCAGTTAATTTTAATCGTTCACAAAAAGTACCTAAAAAGTTAAAACGTGAGGTATTTGATGACAGTTAAACTGAAAGGTGGAATTTTCATTCATTTAATATCTGAATTTTCTCAAACAATTTGTTCGTAGCGAAAGAGCGAGCGAAGTTTTACATTCAGTTCTACAACAAATATACGCTCTCTGTGAGTCTTTCCGGGTCCGTTCAATTTGGACATTTGTACCGTAAATTGCAAAACAGAAACTGAAGGAATTTATTGAGAGAATGGCGCATTAAATCCCCTTGGGTGTGCCATTCGAATTTAGTTTTTGTAGAGGAAAGACCAGATTTACACACGACATTGCAGCAAACTAATGAGCAAACTTGCACAACTTCAAAATTTAAGAATTTGTTCATGCTGCGCGTGCGTATATCGAGTTATGGATACACGCGGGAAGTTTGGAGAGCACGAAAAATGTGTAAGAGTAGCTCGAGGCGCAGCCAAGAGCAACTCTAGCTTTTTGAGTGCTTTCCAAACTTCCCAAGTGCATCCATAACTCAACTGATATACGCACAGCTAAAAGCATGAGCAAATTCTTTTATAACAGAGCAACAACAAGAATCTGCGCGAAGAAACCTTTTATTGTGATAGAGAGCAATTGTGATTGTTCTGGTTTTGGTAAATTTCAATTTACTGTGTATTTTATTCCCCAGGTTGAACAAATTTAAAAACGACAGTAAAAACGGAAATTTTACCTTTGAATGTCGTTTATGACCAATTGGTGACTATTTTTATTCCCAGTGAATGTCTGTCTTTCGGCCAAAATTTGCTCCAGCTGGTCTTACGACAAATTTGCGAAACGTGCAACTTGGGAGTTTTTTTTGGCTTTATTTCTGTTGCTTGTTGGATCAAGACCCAAACGGTCAATGCCGATAGAAAAATTGGCCAGTTCTTCTCTGGTTTCTTCCATATTTCAAAGAGAAGGAAAACTGCACCGCAGCTTAACAGGATGGAAACTCTGAAGCCAGGTTAAAAAAAATGCTCACGTCATCTTATTTACGCACGGGCGTGCGTAAATAAGGATTTTGTTCATAGCGGCTCAATAGGACTAAAATAGGGCCAGCACCGGCGCTGTTATAGAAAAAATTTGAATTTACTCACAATTACCTTCCTCGCCGTTTACTTAATGAACAGAGGTGAATCTTCGTACATGAATGAATGGTCGATGACAGTGAATAATACTTTCCCTTAGGTCATTGAATGTTTTTGAAGGAAACATTGTCGTGACAGTCCTTGCCAAACTAGTTCCGTTGTTTTTCAAATGTTCTTACTTTTTTTTTTTTCTTCTTTTCTTACGCGCTCTCTAATTGACAGGTGTCAGACAGTGACAGATACTGGTAAAAATAATGTTTCAAAGTTTGTTTGGAAGCCTTTTAAATCACCTTTATCATTACGCAAATGAAAATGTTTCGGTAAGGCATCTCTTTTAATTTGCATCACCTCTTTTTTTAACTACCATTTATTCGTTAAAAAATTGTCCAGTTTATGGAAGATCTTGCCGTATTTACAGCCCTAAATCATTCGGGTTCTTTCGGAAAGAATTTCGTCAAGTTAAAAAAAAAAATGTATGTTATTTACCGGCTAAGGGTTGGTCCGTATGGTGAAAAACTGTGACCTCGGTCTTGAAAATGCTGCATATACATCAAGACCTCGATCATAGTTTTTCACCATACGAACCTTCCGGCCGGCAAACCGACATTTATTTTTTTTTTTCAAGTCATAACAAGAAACTCCCAATTTCTTGAAAAACGGCTTTTTCCTGACCGGCTTAAGTCAACCCGTCCGGCCCTGTACACGTCAGCTTTAACTGTGGTTTTCTAGGATTAGGCGAGCGGGGCCAGACGGGCCATACGATAATTACGAATATGCTTCAACTGCACGCGTGAGATTTGTATCACAAGTTGCCGGTTTTCATTGTCACGCCATCATCAAAACGTACAACAAATAAAGTCAAGAATCAAAAAGACATAAAATCCTGTAGCCGTCTTCAGCGGACTTATAATCATCTATATGAGTACTTATTCTCATACTAGGACTGTTCAGATCGCGAAATCTAAGCGGATGTCACTTTTTTTAAAACCTACGTGACAGCATTCTTGGCCGCCTTTTAATGTCGCTTGGCGCCAAAGCTTAGAAATTCAATCTTGCTTTCTCACAAGACGAAAAACCCTAACAAGCTGGAAATTTGTAAAAAGTAAGTCTTCAACAGTTCTTATAACTAACCGAACTAAAATCTCAAAGGGATTGATAATTCCTTATTTTCTAATTTTGAAGACGTGACGTGAAAACCAGATAAAGCGCGCTCGCGACTGAAACTATTCCTAGCCTTCAGCGTGGCATCCCCTCAGTGAGAATGTCATTATACAGGACAGCCATCGATAATGGAGTGGGTTAATAATAACAATAGCAATCTTTCATCAGGAAAATTTCATTACATCACTGTGGTTTTCAGAAAGGTCCTAGGAGACTTGGCAAGAGACTTGGGAACCCCTTTAGAAGACGACCTAAATATGAAGGACTAAGCCGACTAGACAAAGCATCCCATTTACTTCACGGCCTTACTGAACAATTCAGTGATAAGCGTACCAATTACCGCCGATACCAGAACCTAAACAAAGGAAATTAATTAATTAACCGCACAACGGAAATGTCGACCTTTAAAAGCTAATCATACTCTCGTTGTAATCTGAGGTTAATTGAGCAGCTTATACTATAAAGAAGGAAAATTTTACTGTGACAGGCCGTCATCGAAGATCTCATATTCCGTAAAATGCCTCATCAAAAGGGATTGATAATTTCTTATTTTCTAATTTTGATGACGTCACGTGACTGAAACTCTTTCGAGCCTTTAGCGTGGTGTCCCCTCCGTGAAAATGTCATTATTACAAAGGACAGACATCAATAATGGAGCAGGTTTAGGTAAGAGACTAAGGAACCCCTTAACGTGACGACCTAAATATGAAGGACTAAACCGACTAGACAAAGCATCCCATTAAATTCACGACCTTAATGAAGATTTCAATAATAAGGGTACCAATTACCGCCAATACCAGAACCTAAACAAAGGAAATTAATTTATTAACCGCACAACGGAAATATTGACCTATAAAAATCACACCGTTGTCATCAGAGGTTATTTGAGCAGCTTCCACTGACAAGGAAACTTTATTACGACAGACCGTGATCGAAAATCCTTTAGTCCGTAACAATGTCTCATCAAAAGACCGAAGTGGTTTCCAAGTCCAACGAATTAACTTTTCTGAGGACAGTGGATTTGGAATGCTGTATTTGGTGAGTTGAATATCATTGCTGGCTGTCACATTTTGCCATCGTTTTTGTTACCGCTCATTTCCAGTGCTATTATACCGCCACATTCCTTTTCAGTTATGGCATCGTGTCAAGGCCCGTTACCCTTGCCTGTGGGCACTCTGGCTGCAAAAATTGCATGGAAACTTGGGCAGAATCGACAGCCACACCGTTGTGTCCCCAGTGTCGGGCAACGTTCCGAAAAGAAGAGCTGAGGTTAAATGTGGCAATGGATAAGGCGACCCGAGATTTGCCTGTTAAATGTAACAGCTAAGGCTGCCAGTGGAAGGGCAACTATAGCGATGCCAACGATCACCTCAGACATTGCCCAAAAGTACGAGAGAGGTGCCTCAACGAAGGATGCCAGCATGTGGCGGCACGGGAAGAAATGACAGCACACGCTTGCCCAAAAGAAAGGATCGCATGTTCAGGATGCCAACTGAGCGTAACCAGGGAAAAACTACAATTCCACCGTACATCTTTATGCAGAAACTCTGCAGTTCTATGCCCCTTGAGATGTGGAGCATCATTACCACGGTATGTTGTATTAATTAGGATAATTCAGCATTGCGATATTTTGGTGTTAGGCGATTGTCATAAGTGAAGTATTTTTCGGTAATTTTTAGCATGAATTGCAGTATTGCTGTATTCTCTTATCATTTCAATCGTCAATAGCAGGTGACAAACTTATCCTTCGTGTTATCCAAATCGAGGACTACGAGCAGTCCTAACTTGTGTCTGGTGCCACGCGATCAGCTGCATTCCTTAAAAAATAACTGACAGAGAGGAATTAAATTTCATAAGCAAGAAACGATTTGAGAAACAGAAATAATGCCTATTTTTCAGTGGGGATCTAAGAGAGGGGCCTAGTGATACTTCCAATTACTTTAAGTCCCCTGACCACCGCTCTCCCCAAAGCCCCAAAGTTTATATCAAGGTCAATTTATCTACAGAGCCAATTGGCGTGACCCTTGAGGTGTCATGTTTTTCCCCTTTTTTTTTCATCAAACCACTGTTGGAATATATGATACCAGTCAAAATGGAAGATCTAGAACTAACACATACCTCTTTTTGAATTGTAGAATGAACATCAACCTACATCTACACAAATGCCCAGAGAAGGCTTCAATGTGCCAAGTACCTGGCTGCAAAAATTGTGAAAAAGAAGGACATGAATGTCCATTTGAAGGAAACAAGTACCTCGCATTTTGCTCTCCAATCAGGAGAAATCAAACGACTGCGAGGAATAATATACTACAAGGTAAGCTGCCTTTTCACCAACCTAAAAATCAATAAACATGCACTCTTTTAAATGCCAAAACCAGCGAAGTATGTGGAAAAAAGGATGGCAACTGTTGCATTTACCTTCAAAATCTTACATTGAAAATCTTTTTTTCTGGTGCATTTCATAATATCCATAAAATCCATTTCTGTTTTAGAAATGCAACATAGAACCCATAGAGCCCAAAGTGGAAAGGGTTGTCTCCTTTTGCTGGAGAATTCCAAATTTTGTGGAGAGCAGGAGACAACAAGCTTCAGATGCCATTGGAGACAAGCCCCTTACAAGTGGGCCATTTATAGATGACAACTGCAGATGGAGAGGACTGTACTCCGGACAACAAAATTGTTCCTGCAGCTGCTCTCAGCATCCCATCCAGTTACTGGGGAAATTCAGTAAGAACTTTAATTATTTCATGCAGAGTGTTTGTGAGTGCACTTAAAGGAAAATGCTACCTTTGCCTTCTTTCATGTCCCAAGAGTGACCAACACTATTTTCATCACAAATCGAATTATACTAAACCAGGAGCAAAGGTTATGAGAATTTGTTCATAGATTGTCAAAGGAAATTGATATTATGTTTGAAAAAAAATCACCTTTATAACTAAGGGGGCTTTAGAAGAAATGATGCATAACACTAGATTTGCTGTCTGTGTGTTGCATGAAAAAAACATTTCATTGTACCTATTTGTGTATGACTGTGCCAGAACTTGCTAACTGCTGTGTTCAAAGCCGAACCCACCCATGTACTACTCCTGTTTAAGCTGAGAGACAATACGGATATCTGGCATAAAAATACACAATGATTGTTGAGTGGAACAATGTTATGATATGTAAATATATATTCTATTTTCTTTTTGAAGAATTGTAATGGCCCCTGGAAGTGACAATGAGCAAGTGCTAGACTCGGACATAGTGTCCGTGAAGGAAGGAGAAATGTGGGGTAGGAGGATACCAAATGTGGACAGTCTACTGGACGGAAATGGCAGCCTTGATGTTAAATTTATTATTTACTACTTCAACTTGCATTAATTTCATGAACAGGTCATAAAATGTTCAATTCAGTTATTAAAAAAAGTCAACTGGCATTTTTATTAACCTCTTACTTAACAGTCATAACTTTCTTGCTTATTTTTTTTTGTCATGACTGCAAATTAAGAATATGGTTTTTGCAGTCTATAAAGAGGGTTAGGTCAGGCCATTTAAAAACTAAGGTTAAATCAACAAGCATTGATTATTTTGTTAAAAGTGAACTGTTGCAGGTGTTTAATGGCTTTTTGGTGGATCTATTAACACATTCATAACTGGATTGAACATTTTAAGACCTGTTAATAATGGAAACCTCTTTGCTCTCAACTATCAAACCAATTCCTGAAAATTACTCACTTTTCACAAAATTGGCAAATTTGTCTTCATCTAGCAACATTTAATCAATCTGGATTCAAAAATACATTTCTCTCACTAATAAACACAGCTTGAACTGTACTTTAGCTTCTTTTAACAATCACAGTAGCCCGCCACACTTTCTTAATTTCGTGAAATGTCGTCAATCAACCATGGTCTCTGATCATGCATATGTTCAGTATAGTTAATAATATTCTTCTTAATATTTGATTGCAAGGGATGAACATACATTACTTTTCAGTCTTTTTTTTTTTTGTCATATTCTCCAAAAGATTTTCATATTTCATTAGAGTTCTGTTCCTTTTCCTTGTTACAAAAGACGAATTAAAATAGAAACACGAAAGTGCATTGAGCTCATATAATAAAAATAGAATGTGTGTATTGTTGCATGTTGTTATGTATACTTTTTTGTGGGGTTTTTGGGGTTGGTAAAATGGAGGGAGACACTTTCTTATTACACAACTGAGATTTAAAATAACCGAGAAACGTACACTCCAGGATTGAGCTTAAGTTTGAAACTGAACAAAAGGTTACTAGAAACTATGAACCAGCAACTCGGAACACCCTCCCGTAAAGAGCCAATGCTCACCTTAGTGTCATTTCCTTCATCTCCTTAGCAGTATAAATCATTCTTTGCTCTTCTTCTGTCACTCTTCTTCTTTTTTTTCGAATTCGACCGAAAACATACTCCTAAAAAGTACCGAATTCACGAACTAAACTCGACAAATTTGCCAGAAACATGGCCACTCTCGCTCGTCCCATGCTCCCTCCCAAGTCTTGGTACCAGATTACCTCTCATTTGCTGAATGAAGATTAAACCGAGCTCAATATGAAACCTATAGAATGCGAGGCAAACCGTGCTCGATAGAATACGTGGCAAACCGAGCTCGATAAAAATAACTGAGGTCGATAAGAGCAGATTGAGTTCGTCGAGCTCGTCTTTTTAATCGAGCACGATATAGTTGAATCGAGCTCGAATAGAATTGACTGCATTTCGAGCTCGTTGAAACGAGGTTGGTTTGAAATGGTACTCGAATTGCTATTCGAGTACGGTGAACATGAATCGAGCTCGGTTGCCCAGATACTAAATGTGGTCCGTTATTTTAATTTTTACAAATGATTGTAATTAAAATACTATTAGTGTAACTGAAGATTCTTAACCGAGTTTAAATAAAGATTTACTACTACTTCTTCTAATTTTGGTCTGAAATCATACTTGTGATTTCAAATCGAACTCGTGCTGCGCGCTCATTTGATTTTGAAATCACGCGTATGATTTCAGCCCAAATTACACCACTCAGTTCAATTACTATTATTTATTCTCATCACTTGTCTTTTTGGTATTGTATAGATTTGGTAAAGAGAAATTCTGTCTTGGTCACTCATGGGAGTTAAAAGGTTAATTAAACTGAAAGATTGAAACTGAAGATTTTTAACCGAGTTTAAATAAAGATTTACTACTACTACTACTAATTTTGGTCTGAAATCATACTTGTGATTTCAAATCGAACTCGTGCTGCGCGCTCATTCGATTTTGAAATCACGCGTATGATTTCAGCCCAAATTACACCACTCAGTTCAATTATCATTATTTATTCTCATCACTTGTCTTTTTGAAATTGTTTTGATATGGTAAAGAGAAATTCTGTCTTGGTCACTCATGGGAGTTAAAAGTTAATTAAACATTCAGTGGTAAAAAAACCCAAAAGGCAAAGGGAGATTAAATTAAAGGCCTAATTAAAGCCTTATTAGTTAATTTATTAATCAAAGGCTTAAAGGACAGAACAACGGAGTTGAACTTGAGGGAACCGAGGAAAAATCTAGTGTGTGGTAATGTGAAGTGCTTCCGTCTACAACCACAAGACAAAAAGACTAGGGTTTTTAAGCATGATGCTCTGTAACTTTTTTCCTATTACAATTATTTTTTTTTATGTTTATGATTTTACAGATATTGACGAGTGTAAAGGAAATCACTCTTGTCACGTAAATGCTACATACAAGAACATCCTTGGATCACATATACGTCAATGTCAAGCTGGATATACTGGGAATGGACGAAACTGCACAGGTGAAATTAATCTCTTCGCTATAATATTAAGAATAGTCCTGCATCATGACACGTTCAACTACAGTGCCGCACCATTCAGCGGCGTTGCAAGACAATTAGACAATTTGTTTGGTCAATTATTTGATAGGAAAGATCTTTTCAAGAAATGCGGCAGAATTGGTATCTCTAGGACAAAATTAAACGATACAATCGACTTGTTATCAACATATCTTAGGCAATGTAACTGATAAACTCTTAGACTTAAAAAACGTAAAAAAAATTCATTCTTAATTGTAATGATTTCAATTATTTTAAAATTCATACTTAAATGTGTAGCCGTTCCGTGTTTTGGTCGTAGAAACCTGAGTGATGACAATACAAATATAAATGTGGTAGAGCCAAAATTCATAGATTCAAATCCCGTATGGCCTGAAATTTTCAGGCTTTATTTTTCACTACTGCTTAAGTAGTATTCACTGCTAGATCTCTTTCGTTTTCATTTCTTAATCCGCAGTTTCCATATATGATTTTCATACATTCACAGT